TAATTAAAAATTTTTGTTTTTTAAGATAATATATTTTTTAATTATAAATTAATGTACAAAAAAAATTATAATCACTTAACGTTGTTAAAGGTAAAAAACAAAATTGAAATTTATTAGATAATTATTAATTAACAATGTGATCAAAAATTAAAAAATTAAAATAGATAAATTTGTCAATAAAATTAAAAAATTTTAATTTGCTAATGGTTTGGTATAAAAAATTACATAAACTAACTTTTTCAATCCGCTAGCGGTTTGGACCCTAACCGCTATCCACTAGTTTCAAATTGCTAAATAAAAATTTTACCAAACACTTTATTTGTAGCGGTTTCGAAATATATAAATTTACCAAACACTTATATATAGCAGTTTAAGTAAAACTGCTAATCGTTATTCCAAAACCCCTATACCAGACGGATCCATGGAGCTGCAATACAATGCCAGCAAAGTGACAGCCACATGGAGCTGCACAAAATGGCAGCAAATCTTTTGAATATAATGTTGCTTTAAATGTTTGATAGATTTTTTTTGTATTAGGTAAATATTAGCTGAGAAAAATATTGTTTTATATTGTATTATTTCTGCTATTTATAGCAGAATATCATTAGAAGAAACTGAGTTTTCACCTCATAAAAAAAAAAAAAGAGAACTTCGGGTGTCTCCTCCTCCTCCAAGTCCTCTCTCCACCCGTTCCCAGGAAAGCCCCAACAACTTCAATTTGTTGCACCAGTTTCCCTCGTTTGATCCATCAACTTCCTCTCTGAAAAGTGAAAACCAATGTTTGAGCTCTGATTCCTCCAAACAAAGACAATGGAAAAGACTTGGACAAACAGGCCAGAGAATCATCTCCTTCCTCCCCACAAATTTCAGTCAAATTGATCCAAATCAAGAACTCTCTGGTCTTCACGCCAGTCAGATTCTTAATCTTGTTAGGCTGAAAATATGCCGTAATCACAACAGCACAATTGATGACTGTGTCCTCAAACTTGTAATATTCCCTATTCTTCTTGTGTCGGAGCCAAACAACAAACTCTCTGTCCTTCACGTACCCGCACTCCAGTATGTCCAGCACCGTCAGCAGCCAGCCCAGGACCCCCATTTCCGCCAACAACAGAGCGAATTTCTCGCTGCATGTTTTGCCACCGTAACAAACCTCTGCTTTCGCCTTCGTTGCTTTTGTCACCGGTGACATCTCTTCCCCTCCTCCCCTGGGAGATGCTTTACGTGTTAATATATACAAGCTGGAAGCCTGAACCTTCTGGTTTTCTGAAGAATAGTAGTTTCCGTGGCCCTGGGGAATTGAAGTGGACATGACAAGTTGGACACCCGTTTTAGTTTGTTCTGGAGGAATACAGAATACGTGTGGCGAGGAGATGGAGGAAATAATAGGATGGGAAGAGGAAGAGGAGGGAAATCAACCAACTACTACTGCAATATTCACTCGTCCAAAGGAAAGTTGGAGAGGAAGGGAAGGAGAAGAAGGGAGAGATACTCCTGCTTTCATTCCCTCTTGGTGTTGGAAAGATTTAGCCTATGTTTGGATACAAATTAGTAAAAGGAAAGAAAGGGAAGGGAGGGGAAGGAAAGGGAGGAGAAGTGAAGGGAAGGATAAGGTTGGTATTAATTTTGTTTGGATAGATAAAAGAGAAAGAGAAAAAAT